GAAACAACTTTAATGGGCCCTAAATGACCAAGCTGGGATGCCCGTGCCCCTGCTGAAAAGCTGGGTGCCATGTCGCCTCTCTCCTATTTTGATTGACCCCTCCTCATCATCTGGCCTCCAGGTAGTAAAGCTAAAGATAGAAACTTTCCCTACTTTTCAGACTTCATGGTGCCCCCTCAGAATACGTGAGAAAATGCAGCCAGCATCTCCTGGAAGATTAGGAGGGCAGTAAGATTCCGTAGCCACCTTCCGGCTGACATCTGAGCCCTGCTTTCAGCACGGTCAAGCCTTTCGGAGGCAGCCAGCGTATGGCTTGTATCAAACTCTATATTTAGGAAGAACAACTGTGAGCTATGACAGGAATTCTCTTTAACACTTAGCCTTAAACCGAGTTCCCCTCCAGCCCGGAGCCGGGAGCAGCTCTCAATCCCGGGTGAGACACCGAGCACTTGAGCTATTTCAGCCACATGCAAAGCGTCGGAATTGAGATCGCAGCTCAGAGGACACCAGGCATCCCTTCCGCCTTCTAAGGAGCCTTGTATTCTTGCACCGGGCTGCCTGGGACCCTTCTCAGGCAGGCGACAGACACGTAAAGCAGGTAAGCAGAAGGACGAAGCTTGGGCAACCTGGCTTTCTGACGGAAATTGCTTTGCTATCTGACTTGGAATGACTACATTACTTATAACTTTGTAGGCTTGGAACCAGTGGGTGTGTAGCTTCTTTGTAAATTCACTGGTCAAGGGTGATAGTGCTGCTTCTGTTTTATAAAGTGTGTGTGTGTGTGTGTGTGTGTGTGTGTGTGTGTGTGTGTGTGTGAGAGAGAGAGAGAGAGAGAGAGAGAGAGAGAGAGAGAGAGAGAGAGAGAGAGAGTTTGATATAATATCGAACTAAAAGTAGTTTGTATTGATAGTGACGTTAAGAAACTTTCCAGGGTCCAGGCTTGATGCCTGTGACCCTGCATATTATGTCATTCTGATTCTTATGGCCTGGGCTACAGTCGGTCAGCTGCAGGCTGATTTGGGCTGTAAGCCTAGAAATGATCAGAATTCGGGGCAGAGGAAAGCTAGCTCCTTGGTTTACCTAAATGCAAATGATTGCCAGTTGTTACACAGTTCAAGTTGAAAATGCTTTTCTCATCTCCCTAAGCACCAGGCTTGGCCTCAATGACGGAACTGTATCAACGTATAGATCGAGACATACTCCGGACCCACCTTTTGAAAGTCCCACGTTAGTCACAGTGTTCTCTGTACCCGGCAGGGGAGAGGTCAACACTCCTGTGCCTTTGTGGGCACCGGGTTCTGAAATGTGGGAACACGGAGTGCCTCTTCCCTCTCAAGATATTTCAGGCCAAGGGAATAAGGAGCTAGTTCAGACAGCTGACTATCTTCCTACCCCCTTCCCCGAATTATTTTTAGCTGCGAGACAGAAGACAATTCCCTCTGGGACTTCGCTTTAGCCATCTAATTGACCAGTTAAAAGAACAAACAAAATCCCTGCTTTGCAAATATTGATTTACTTGCCTCGGAATCCACTCTTATTAAATTAGTGATATGAATGTGGACAACATTTTAGGAAGCGAGAGCCTTGCTTAGAAGTCAGATATCAGATGCCGCCCAATGAAAATCCAGCAGGGGGGCTGTGCATGACTCGGTACGCAGACCATTAAAGGTTCCTCAATGCTTTGCAGAACTGCCAGGAAAACTCCACCGTGCTAAACTGGCAAGGGTTCCCATGATAGTACATAGGCTTTGCAAGAGACAATACACGCCTTGTCAAACTTTCCGTGTTTCCAAGTTGTAGCCAGAACCGGGAGATACGATATCAAGAGTGCTATAAAGAGTACCTCTTTGTAGGAAAAGCAGTGGCCCTCGTGTGAGTGGAGTTGTGCATCTAAGGGAAGAGCTTTCGTGTTTTTTGTTTTTTGGTCCCGGACAAGGCACACAGCTACAGAAGGAAGGTGCATTCTCCACTCTGCATCCCTGACGGAGGTGAGTGCAGGGCCAGGGAAGCAGCCGGGGAATGCTGTCTATTTTTATTCATCAGTGTGCTTTGCCCTGATTTCTCTGCGAATAATGAGGACAGCAAGAACGGCTGCAGAAGCGATTTACACAATTGTGATCTAGCCTGTTTGTGAGGAGCGAGAGCTGGGATCTGACCAACTTTTCAGAGCCATCTCTATCGCAGATATATATGTTAAGAAGAAATGTGCATGCAGATGAGATGATACCAAAGTTATGTAGGCGCTAAGGTGCAAGGGATAGCCATCTGTTAAACGTAGAGGTCCACAAAATCCAAATAAATACAGTTCAGTGAAAATAAAAACAAAATCAGCTCAATTTTTAAAAAACCCAATGCAGTATGAAATAGCATTCATTACCTGATTTTTTTTTTTTTTTACATTTCAACCTGTTAGTGTAACCACATAAAGAAATTCCCAATTGCCACAGTTCAAATCAAGACTTTTTTTTTAAAAGTTCCCATGATATCGGTTAACATTTAGTTGTATATGCATAGAGTATACTATCTGTTGAGTTACTAACGTCCTGTGCAAATTATTGCTTTGCATGACTTCTAATGGCTTTTTGAAGAATAGAAACATTGAGAATGAAACTACCACGCTTTTCCTTTTGAAATTGAGCTGTGTGTCCTAGATCCAAAAAGTAAAAACCCTTCATTGAGTCTTTGATATTGCAGGAAAGCAGCCGGCAACCGAGCTGAAGCATATAATAGAGCCAAATGCATTCCTGATTGTTCCGTTAGTTGCTGCTTTAGAATTTTTCAAGCAAATTGAAAACAATTCTACCTAGACCCTCATGCCTGCAGGCTATTTCTCTAAATGACCAAGACATTCAGGTGAAACTTAAAAAAAAAAAAAAATCTCATTGTTTTCATGTGTGTGCCTCCAAAGACTATATCGTTGGATATACAAATTATAGATTGAAAAATTATGTGATTATGTCACTTCCTATAATAGAGACTAAGACTTTGAAGATCTTAAAACATGTAAGTGTTCCTAGAATTCTCGGATCTTTTATCTCTAAAGCAGGGGTGGGGAATGTCTGGCCCACAGGCCATATAAGGCTGGCAAAACCATTTGGTCTGGCCCTGACAAGGCAACCGCAGGTGGGACTCGAAATTCAATAAATCCAGGAGTTTTTTTCATCCAACATGCATTTATATCAAATGAATTACATTAGGCAAAGGATGTTATACATATCCAAAATGGCCCATGGCAGAAAGGTCCCTCACCCCTGCTCTCAAGCATTGAGGGGCATAAAGACATCCATTCTGACACTGTGCCTACAGCTGTAGATTAGTATACGGGAGTCCTAAAATGTCACGAGCTATAGGCAATGACAATAAAATAATAAATGTTGGAAGTCAGATATTAGATGCTGACTTTATAGTTCCCGAGGCATTTTCAGGAACATCGTGTCATTTTGTTTGTTACCACAACCTGTGAAGCAGGTACAATGGAAGGAAGTGGCAATGGACCCAGAGATTTTTGAGTGACGTAGCCCAGCTTACCACAGGACATGTGGCCAATGACACCACTGCTCTCTGGGTGCATTTCCTCGCCAGTTAGCACACACACTTACACCAGTCAACAGAGGGAAGGCAGTCAACCCATTATATAATTTCCGTTCTAAAAGCAGCATGCTTTGAATGCACTGAGTTTTTTGCTTTTTCACTCGGTTCTGTTGACATTGAATAGACCAAGTGACAACAACACCGGGACAGGGCTGGGCTGTTCCCTGTCCCCTTTGTCCCCACCCCCGACCCCCCCCAAACCATAGTGATCACTGGACCATAGTCAGATCTCAGGAGCTGAAAGAAAACAAAAATCCTTTGGGAAGGAAGCACTACTACGTCTTGGGGATCTGACACGGTCATGTAAGTTCTATTTGCTTTCTGGGCTGTTAGAAGAGGTGACGCCGAAACCGGTTTGGATAGAGCATTGGCCTGCAGACTGAAGGGTCTTGGGTTCGATTCCGGTCAAGGGCCTGTACCTTGGTTGCGGGCACATCCCCAGTAGAGGGTGTGCAGGAGGCAGCTGATTGATGATTCTCTCTCATCGGTGTTTTTAGCTCTCTATCCCTCTCCCTTCCTCTCTGTAAAAAATCAATAAAATATGTTAAAAAAATAAAAATAAAAAAGAGAAGAGGTGAGGCTGGCTCTGTACACACAGGGGGGGGGGATGCGGCCTACTTTCTGGGCTCACTGGGCCGAACAGACACGTGCAGAGAGAGCATCGCAGTAGTAAGAACGAAGCACAGGCCATTTAAAAAATATGTTTTATTGATTTTATACAGAGAGGAAGGGAGAGAGATAGAGAGTTAGAAACATCGATGAGAGAGAGTCATCGATCAGCTGACTCTTGCACACCCCCTACTGAGGATGTGCCCACAACCAAGGTACATGCCCTTGACAGGAATCGAACCCGGGACCCTTCAGTCCCCAAGCTGATGCTCTATCCATTGAGCCAAACCGGTCCCTGCACAGGCCATTTCTTTTTGGATGCTCCACAGAGAGGAGGCGCTCTCATTTGTCTGAAGGCATAGCCCGGGCAACCACTCATTCAGATCAAAAGTTCAGTTTCAAGCAGAAAGCTCCCGGGTCCCCAAACAAAGGTGTTTTATTCCCACAGCCTCTTTGCTTTGCTGCTCTGGGCAAGGGGAGAGGGGGGTGGGGGCAGGAGGGCAGGGAAGGAGATGATAGCACCTTTCAAGTTTCTGATAGCCTATCATTAGCATCAGGGGCGAGGCTCTCAGCATTTCTGCTCCTGAATGATTTATCCGATCTCGGGTTCCCTGAGGCTCTAGGAGGGAGAGTCACTGAGTAACTTGGGAACCCGAGCCTGAAAGAATATATGGCCAGGGAAAGGGGTGACTGCCCAGCTGAATAATGAGTTACGTTCTAATTTATCAAGCCCGAGGATCTGAATGCTGCCACCTCTAACAGTTTCGTGCTTGTTTTTTTAGGGATACGACTGCGTGAATATGTCGAAACAGCCAGTTTCCAATGTCAGAGCCATCCAGGTAAGTAGGCAGATTTGTGTGTTAGCAGCAGTTCTGTGACTTCTAGCCTGTGTGCTTAATAAGCCAGACTTTTTGCAGTTGCTTGAACCTGAGGATTGCTTTCAAGAAGAAAGGAAAGACTCATTGAAGGTACACTTGAGAAAGGCTGTAAGGTACAATGAAAGAGGAAGAAGCGATTTTGTTTAATTGTGCTGAAAGATAAGACAAAGTTTGAGTGAGAATGAACTGTTCTACAAAAAATGTAGTATATATATATATATATATATATATATATATATATAATGATATCACATAATTGTCCTCATCCCCCCATTGCCATCCCAAACCCCTCCCCACAGACGCCTCCACCCCCCTGTTGTCCATGGCCACTGGCTAGGCCCATATGCATGCACACAAGTCCTTTGGCTGATCTCTTCCCCTTATCCCCACCTTCCCCTACTTTCCCTCTGAGGTTTGAAAGTCTGATCGCTGCTTCTCTGTCTCTGGGTCTGTTTTTGTTCATCAGTTTATGTTGTTCATTATTTCCTCTAGATGTGTGAATGTAGTGTGTATATTTTTTGACGTGTCAGTTTTTGACAGGCTCATTGATAGAAATTAAGAAATCCAATTTCCATTTTAATATCCAATTGAGTTTGTTAAGCCATCTGTTAGAAATACATCTTCCTGTAAATAATAAACCTTTCTTGTCAAGTGTTCTTCCCAAGGCTTGGGAGTTTATCTTTTAAAGTACATATGCTAGAATGTCTCAACAAGCCCTCCCAGCAAATGAATTCTTTGGTTGTTTCAACTGACGTGTCACGCTCACAAAAAGGGGAGAGGGAAGCAGGCATGTGGGAACACTGATACAATTATGGAGATAACGTTCAATATTTGTTTTTGCCAACTTGTTACTTCTCCTAAGGGCTCTGTGTTCAACTCTCAGATGGCTACCACATTAGGATGTTGGCCACAAGCTTTATTGTAAAATCATATCTTTCCATCAGCATGGAAACATCTGTGCTTTCAGACTTTTTCCCTGGACTTTTAAAAAATTACATCTTTTTTTATAAGTATATTTTTGATTTCAGAGAGGAAGGTAGAGAGATATAAACATCAATGATGAAAGAGAATCATTGATCAGCTGCCTCCTGCATGGCCCCTACTGGGGATCGAGCCCGCAACCTGGGCATGCGCCCTTGACTGGAATCAATCCTGGGACCCTTCAGTCCACAGGCCGACGTTCTATCCACTGAGCCAACCCAACAAGAGTTTTTCTGAATACTGCAGAACATGTGGCACTTCCTGAATATCTTGGGTCTGACGCACCATCCCGGCATAAGCGTACTCATAAGCGAGTGGTGGTATTTTGGAGGGGTGTGCGAGTGGCCAGGTTGTGGGGTAGGAAATCCTGGTGCACACTGGGGGTAGAGAAGGGACAAATCTTTACCTGTGGTGATCAATGCACAGCCCTACATGGATGGACTTCTTAAGTGGCAACATCTACAACAACCTCTGGAAACGTGTCCTAGAACAAACCACCAAGGAAGAGCCTATTGGCCAGGAAGGAGCCAACTTCACATGGCCACACTTGGCCATCGGGTGTCTGCCTAATAAGTCTGGGGTATAGCCTGACATTGGCAATGCAACTTATTTTACGTCCCAGATCTGTGGCCTCCTTGGGCCTTTGAGCCTTTGAGCCTATTTGTGTGGATTGAATTTACCAGTGTGCATGGCTGTGAATGGCATGGGCTCTGAAGCCAGATTACTGGGGTTTGAATCCTCAGTCCATTTTGTATGGGTGTGGGATCATGGGAAAACGACTTTACCTCGGTGCCTCTATTTCCTCATCTGTAAAATGGGGGTAATAACGGTACTCACCTCCGAGGGCTATTCATCCAAAATGCTCAAAACAGCAACATAAGCCCTCATTCAGTGTCAACCGTTATTACAATGATTATTATTTAGGAACACTTTATGTGAAAATGGTGAGAGTCATGCAATTTGATGGCTGCACTTGAAGCTCCCAAGGCACTAAACACAAATTTCCTTTTTATTTTGCAGAACACAAAAACATAGTCCTCTCAGGCTGCCTTTGCTTCTCTCCTTTTTAAAGCTGAAAGCGTGTTAATTTTTCTTCTTTAGTGCTTCCCTCAAATCGACACTGAAAATTCACCAGTGTTTTATCTAATAATTTTGACCTTGAAATATTTTTAGCTTTGTAACATTTACAAAGTTGCTATTGACTGCTCTCAATAGCTGTTATTATACTGCATTTAAAAAAATCCATCCACTCTACCCAGAGTGGTTCCTTACGGATGTGGTATTGCCTCTCTGGATATATTTGATGCCACACACAAAAAAAACCCCTAATTTAATGCACCTTCCAATGAACTATTATTTCTTGTGGTTAAAGAGGATCTGCACTATCTGATATTTTCCTATTATTTCTGCATTAACCTAAAGGAGGGTCCATTAAATAAAATGGGAAAATGGTTACGCTACACAAATGGCTTATAGTAGGGACATTATCTAGGGTCTAGTGTTGTCTGGGACAAAGAGAAGTACTAGTGGATGAGGGAGTGTCCTGGTTGTATAAATACCATTTAAAGAGCTTAAATGTTCTATTCAACACTCTCCTTTTTATTAAGAGCGTATCTCAGTCAGGACAACTGTCATTTCCTGGGTGCATGCTTTGTGCCAGGCACCATACTAGGTGGAGGCTATGCAAAGATGAATTGATAGCTGATCGCTGTGTTCAAGGAGCTTACAGTTTCCATAAGTTACTAGCTGTGTGCTTCTGGGAAAGTTGTTTCTTCTCTTTGTGCCTCGACTTCATCATTCGTCAAGTGGGAGGAAAATACCAGTACTGATCTCATAGGTTTGCTGCGAGTGTGAAATGAATTAATACACATAGATGCTTAGGCAGTGCCTGGTTCCTTGTAACTGATCAATAACTATTACCCATTGTTATGAGTCATCATCTAGTTCAACAGTTCCAAACGTGTGTTTCTTGGAATTCTAGTTTTATGGCCTGTTGTTACTTAGAGGGTTCCATGATAAAGTGTTTGGGAAACATTATGTTGAGCAGAGTTGAATGGGATCTTGACTGTGGAATTTTTCAGAGTGCATTACTTGCTAATGGTTTTGTAGGTTCCCAAGAAGGTGGTAACATGTATAATGTTTTTTAAATATATGGGACCATTTTCATGAGTACTTTCAGATTAGTGTTTTGCAGGGCAAACTTCTGGAAATGATGACTTGGATCTTTCTTTTGTCTGGGTTGAACGAATCTTAGCCACTGCCAACCATACTTTTAACAGTCAGGCATTTAGGTAGCTGAATGACTTACTGCAACTATGTGCATCAGACAACATGGAGCCCAAACGGTTACAAATCTCTGCCTGGCCACTCCCTCACTCTGTGAACTTAGTTTACCCTTTGGTAAAATGGAACAATCACTATTTAATAAAATTATTGTAATAGATAAACAAAATAATGTATGGTTTATGGCACACAAATTCCTAAGGGGTGGGTTTTGTAACTATCCAAGCAATGCAAGAATGGCCTTGCTTTCTCTTCAACTGGTTCCATCTGCCCCATGCTCTAGAGTAAGAGGGAGGCCAGAACTAGACCCACACTGAGAGGAGATGTTCAGTTGCCTACATACTAAAGAAGAGGTGGCCTTGGAATTGTAAGAGGATTCTATGGAAGCCTACATTTCTCCTCAGTTGTATTCATGAAATGTCATTTCTGCCAAGGATATAAATATATCCCTAAGAACTCAGTTGATCTTTTCATAGCCTAGAGAGGGCCTTTGTCTCCAAAGCGGCTGATAAAAACCTATTCCAGATGTGGGTGAATCTTGTCTCAAAAAGAAACCCCCCCCCAAAAAAAAAAACAGAAAGTAAATATTTTGGGATTTGTAGATCATTGGGTCTCTGTTTCAACTACTCAACTCTGCCATTAAAGCACAAAAGCAGCCATAGGGAACACATAAATGAATGAGTGTGGCTGTGCGCCAATGAAACTTTATTTACAAAAACAGGTGGCAGGCTGGATTTGGCCCATGGGCTGTAGTTTGCTGACCCTGGTTCTCTCCAGGGTGACTGTTAAACTCCATTGTTGATGGGGATGGATTTGCAACCAAGGTAACGCCAGCACACTAGGCACAGTGGATTTGATCCTTGCAGATGAAAGAATTTGATGTGACAGGTGGTGGGGAAAGCTAGAGCTGCTGGGAAATCTAATGCCATCAGCGATCTGCTTGGTGAATTTTCCTAATGAGAACAAGTGACACTGGCCTGTCTTTCCCCTTCCTCTGGAACATACTTCATTTGAAAACCACCATGGGCCTTCCCAGGACCTCAGGCTGCCCAGAGCCAATGTTCTCTTGGTAGTCACTTGTGCTTTCTCACCACTATTGATCAAAGCAAGCTGAGTATTATTTGTCCTCTCCCAGGAGTTCTGAGAGCTTCATGATTAAAAGGAAAGAAGTCCTGTGCCCTCGTCTTAGCTCTGCTCCGTAACTTCACTCCCTGGGTCCTCAGAGTCTGAAAAGGGAGGGTGTTTCATTAAATGACCTCTAAGCCTCTGCCCAGCTTCTAATACTTGATGAACTTCTTGAGAATAACTTCCAAGGTTTATTATTAGAACGATAATAATAGTAACAGGTCCTTCAGGGTTTACTATGTACTTGGCTCGGCGCAAATGGGATTTCTAAGGATTATAATGAAAGGTTTAGAGAAGTGCAAGAACTCACAGGATCAACAGCTTGTAAGTAGGACAGTCAGGACCCAAACTCAAATATTTTTCATCTTAAAAGGATCAACCCTGCAACACCCTTTAGCCTCATTACTTACCATCCCTGCCTTGGCATGGAGAGTGAGGATAGAGGAGCCGGTGCAGACCATCTAAAGGATCATCATGAGTACTAAGGCTATTTGAAAGACAATGACCTCTGAGGTTTGAGAGTCTGATCGCTGCTTCTCTTTCTCTGGGTCTGTTTTTATTCATCAGTTTAT